GGTAGGGTTTGGGGGGGGGGGGGGGGGGGTGGGGGGGGGGGGTGGGGTTTGGGGGGGTAGGGGTTTGGGGGTAGGGTTTGGGGGTAGGGGTTTGGGGGGGGGGTAGGGGTTTGGGGGTAGGGGTGAGGGTTTGGGGGTGGGGGGGTTGGGGTGGGGGTTGGGGGTGATGTGGTGGGGGGGGGGGTGAGAAGGTGTGTGGGGGTGTGTGAGAGAAACCGCAGTAAATATCTATCCTTCAGCGGTTTTAAAAATCGCCGCTGTAAAAAAGTTGCCTCGGGTACAAAATGCGTAATTACAATCGAGTCGTAGAAATAGGGAATTATTGACATCATTATCATCATTATCATTATAATTATTGAATGATTAATGTAGAAATCGTGTCGAGTAGCAAATGCACGTGTGTGTGTGTGTGTGTGCGCGCTTCACCTGTTATTTTTTGTTTGACGTGACACAGACTTTTACACAGGACTTTCCAAAGCATTTGAGGGGGAGAAAAAGAAAAATAAGTGACGCGACTTCAGGTCAACTTTCTGTCTCAACAAATCTCAATCGTTTGGGTATTTTTTTCCCCCACACACACACCCCCCCCCCCCCCACACCCCCCCTTCTCTCTCTCTCTCTCTCTCTCGGGTTTTAATACTTTTTTTTAAAAAAAAATCCCCCGAACTTCCTTTCACTTAAAATCGGTAAACGAAACTCCGTCGTGTTTTAAGACCGATTTTTAACGTCGATTAAGATCTCGCAGCACCGGAGCGCGGAATGGGGTGTGGGGGCGGCGGCGGGGGGGGAGAGAGGGGGGGGGGAGAGAGGGGGGAGAGAGGGGAGAAAAAACAAATCGCTAATTAATTCGGTGATTAATATTTCCGTCGTGTGCTTTTTTTTCTTTATAAAAAAAATTTAAAAAAAAATCTCGTCCCCGCCACAATTCTCCCCTTCTCCCCCCCACACCCCTTCGAAGACAACAACGCCTTCAGCTCAAAGCCCTTTCCTCCTCAACTTTCCTTTTTTTTTAACGTTCGCGTCGCGTCTTTTGAGTCTTTCGAGAGAAGAAAATTTAAAATCGAAATTTCGAGCCACATCGACGACGGTGTTAAAAGCGAAACGGAGAAGAACAAACGGGTTTGTCCGTCTGTTCATTACCCCCCAACCTCTCTCTCTCTCTCTCGCTCTCTCGCTCGGACCATCGTTAACTTGTGGAGCGCGGAATGATGATCGCCTCTCGACCCCCATCGTGGTGTCTGCGCCATCTTTTTAACTCAATCCCTCTCCGGCCCGGGGGGGGGAGAGGGGGGCCGTGAAAGACAGACGGATTGACCTCTCCTCCCGGCTCTCCCCGACCGGAGAGAGAGAGAGAGAGAGAGAAAAATATTGGTTTTAAACATTTTTTTTTCTTGTCACGGTTTGAAAAGTTAACACCGCGACGTGCAGCTCTCGACGGCTGCGGCTATTTGGAATTCGAATTTTTTTTTGTGCCCTCCCCGTTCATTAAAAATGTAGTTTTGCGTCGTGTTTCTCTCTTTTTTTTTGATATAAAAACCTGCTCTACAGAGAGAGAGAGAGACAGACAGAGAGAGAGACAGAGAGAGCGGTGCGGAGCGCGCACACGCGCACATACTTTCTCTGGCGGTTTTTTTTTGAAAAAAAACGTTTTTTTTTGAAAAAAAACGGTTTTTTTTGAAAAAAAACGGTTTTGTTTGTGTGATCTCTCTCCCTCCGCGCGCGAGCGCACGCGCAATGCACGCACGCACGTCACGCCACCGCGACGTCAATCACGCAAACGGTCGGGAAGACGATCCCGAACGACACACACACACACACACACACAACGCGCGCGCGCGCGCGGGCATTTTGCACGTTACAAAAGGAAAAAAAAACAGCAAAACGGTTTTAACAATTTTAGGCAACGAGACCACAGTTTAGCAACTTAACAAAGTTTCCTTAAACCCCCCCCCACCCCCACCCCCCTCCCTACCCCCCTCTCCCCCCCCCCGTCCCCCCCTTTTTTTTTAAAAAGTTTTTTTTTCGGCTCTTTTAAACATGAGGATTCTTACAAAACACTGAAGTAACAAAATACTCATGTTATCAAATTACTTTTTCCACAAGGATACACTGCAAATACTGAGGCAGAGATAGGAAAAAAAAACCCCCTCATAAAAAGGGGATTTTATATATATATATTTTTTTTTGCGGTTTTTTTTTTATTATTTATTTATTATTATTTTTTTTTTTTTGGCACTGAATATCTATCCTGACTTGATTTATATATTTTTTTCTCTCTCTCTCTCTCTCTCTCTCTGGAAAAAAACTCTTCTCTTTTTTTTTCTGTGTGTCGTCTAAATAAAAACCGTCTGTTTGTTTGTTTGTTTGTTTGTTTGTTTCTTTCTTTCTTTCTTTCTCCTCCTCCTTCTCCGGACGAAAAAGTAAAAAAAAAAGTAAAAAGAAAAAAAAAGAATAAATCATCCTCGGGATCACGTTTCGCCGGACGCGGAACGTTCCGGCAGTGCTGGCGAGAAAAAAAACCAGAAGGCGGGGGGGGGGTTCGCGCGGTGGGGCGAGGGGGGAAAAGGACATTTAAATAATAATAATAATAATAATAATCCTTGCATTTGATATAGCGCTTTTCACGTCGGGAGGACGTCCCCAAAGCGCTTCACAGAACACACTGTCAAGTGAATTGACTGTATATTTGTGGGCGAACGCGGCAGCCGATGGCGCACAGCAATGTCCCACAAACAGTCGTAGATTGAAAATGACCAATTTATTATTGTTTTTGGTTTTGGAGGGATTATTATTAGGCTCTGTGTGGAGTAACACCGAGTTCAGCAAATTAACAAGGACTGGGGGGCGGAGGGGCGCGGGGGGGGGGGGGGGCGGCGGATTTCAGGGAATCCGTGTTACTTTTCTTTTTAAAATCCTCTCTCTCGCGTTAAAAAGTAAAAAAAGCCCATCGTTCGGCGCTTCATAAGACAGTCTTAAAAATCGCGGTGACGTCCAAAAAAATCTTTTACCCCCCACCACCCACCGCCGGCGCCGGAGAAAGTTTAGGAACTTTTGTACCGGGTGTTGTTGTTTTTCTTTCTTTTTTTTTTACCTTTTTTTTTCTTCTTAAATTACACACTCCACTGACTCGCACAGTATAAAATATAGCTCATTTGATGTGCATTTCGTCGTTTCGTAACCGCGGATTGTCTCAGGTGTGTGAAATCAGTTCAGCGAAAGGTGACACACAAATAGGTAGTTTTTTTTTTCTTCTCTCTCTCTCTCTCTCTCTCTCCCACCCCCCACCCCCTTTCAAACGGGGTTTCGTGTTTAACTCATCTACAAAAAAAGTGGTTTCTTCTCTCTATATATATAATCTATATCTATATATAGACAGACAGAGAGAGAGAGAGAGAGAGAGAGAATCGATGAGAAAGTCCGTCACAAAATGACCTTTTTATCAAAAAAAATCTTTACACTTGCCCCGAAAAATGTAAAAACCCGCACGGAAGCATCGCCCTATGTTTCTCAAACTTGCTCCGAAGTAGTCCGCGTCACACGTGCGTTCGGAATACCTCTCCCTCTTCCCCCTTTCTCCCCCGCAAACCCCCCCCTCCGCCGCCCCCCCCAACCCGTCTCAAGGGACGGACGTGGGAAAAATCGGGAAATTTCCCTGAGTCTCTCTCCCACCCTCGAGTCTCTCCATCCGGACGAGTGGCAGCTCTTTGTTTAAACCCCGATAATGTTTTTTTTTGTGTAAACGTGGGGCGGCTGTTTGCCGAATTGGTGACCCCCTCCCTCCCCTCCCACCCCCCACCCATTTTAATAATAATAATCCTTGCATTTGAACGAGCGCCTTATCCCGCGGTCGAGGCGTCTCGAAGCGCTTCCGCAGGACGGGCGGCCAAGTGAGTGGACGGTGCATTTTGCGGGCGGAAAAAAGGGGGCGGCCAAAAATTGCGCACCGCAGCGTCCCCGCGACGAAGGGTACCGCGTTATTACTTGGGGTTGATCCCGAAGGGGTTATTACCCCCGGAAAGGCTTTGCGGGTTGACTGTGTGTTTGGCGGAGTGGGGGGGGGGGGTGGGTGTGGGGGGGGGGGGGTGCGCGAGAGACAGACAGCGGTGTGAACTTTCCTCCCTTGCCCCCCCCCCCACCCACCCCCACCCCCCGCCATCCGTTCCCCTTTGCAATAACACCTCTTCTCTTCTTTTTGCTCATTTGCCGCATCGACCGAGAGATTAAAAAAAACACAAGGAAAGAAATATTTTCGTTGCTGTGTATTTGCCGCGCACCCCCCGACCCCCCACCACCACCCCCGACCCCCCCCTCCCTCTCTCTCTCTCTCTCTCTCTCTCTCTCATACACGCGTTTGATATCTATAATATAATACAATTTTTTTTTTTGTGTGTGTGCGGTTTTCGTTTTTCGTGTAAAATAACTTTTTTTTTTAGTTTCTTCAGCCTCTCCCGAACCGGAGGGCGGGCGGGCGGGCGGGCGGGCGGGGGGCCGGGCTTTTGGGGTGGAGGGTGGGTCGGTGGGGGGCGAAAGGACGTGAAAAAGAGTGCTCGGGTTTCCCCCACGTCACAGACTGACTGACTTAATATCATAGTAGAATTCAGAGTGACACAAAAAAAAGGCAGCATGCGGGGCGGGGCGGGCGGGGCGGGTGGGCGGGGTGGGGTGTAGGGGGGGGGGTGTGGGGAGGCGAAGGGGAAGGGAGAGAGGGGGGAAAAAAAACAACCCACACAGTTATAGTCATAAAAATCTCACGACGACGACATCAAACAGCGAACAACAGTCAACAGAAACGATCAACAGCAACAACAACAACAACAGGAACAGGAACAGCAACAACAACAACAACAACAACAACAGGAACAGAAAAGCAAAGACTCTCTTAAGGTCGAAAAAGATCAGAGTCGGAAGGACCGAGTGTGATGTGAGATCAGAAAAGACATCGGAAACAATGACTAAAAAACATATGATGGAACTTTTTTTTTTTTTTTTTTTTTTTTTTTGGACGTCACACAGGGGACATGCTAGGCAAACGATGAACTAACAGGCATGGAGATGTCTAGGGGGGGAGAAAAAAAAACAAAAAAAAAGGAAGAGTCAAAAGTTACACACAGTAATTTTTTTCTTTCTTTCTGTTTTTTTTCTTTTTTGTGCAGCAGAATGAAAACCGTCAACGGAAATCCAACCCTCCCCCCCAAACCCCGTACCGCACCCCCGCACCCTCCACCCACCCCCTTCCCACCCAACCCATCCCGCCCCGCCCCGCCCCGCCAAACAACCCCCCACCACCCCCCCCCCCCCCCCCACCCGTCCCTGCAAAATTAACACTAACCCTCACCGCACCCCCCCCCCCACCACCTCTCTGTTCACGGATTAATGTGGAAAAACGTCAAAAAAAAAACGCGGACATCAGGTTCCACGAGACACGCGCACACTCGCGCGCGCACACACACACACACACACACTGCTCGCTCTTATTTTTGGAAAAAAACACAAGACGCACACGCACACGCACACGCACACGCACAAGGCATGCTGGAAAAGTGCGAGAGATTTAACAATGCTCACAGAAACACACAGAGAAACACACACACACACACAGAAACAAAACCAGAAACATACACTCCTACAGAAACACACACACACAGAAACACATACACACACACACACACACAGAAACACACAGATAAAGACACACACAGATACAGAAACACACAGATACAGACACACACAGATACAGACACACACAGATACAGACACATAGATACAGAAACATACAGAAACAGATACAGAAACACAGATACAGAAACAGATAGAGAAACACAGATACAGAAACACATAGATACAGAAACACAGATACAGAAACACACAGATACAGAAACACAGATACAGAAACATAGATACAGAAACAGATACAGAAACATAGATACAGAAACACAGATACAGAAACATAGATACAGAAACAGATACAGAAACACAGATACAGAAACACACAGATACAGAAACACAGATACAGAAACACAGATACAGAAACATAGATACAGAAACAGATACAGAAACACAGATACAGAAACACACAGATACACACACAAACACATACCCACACACACAGATACACACACCTACACACACCCACACACACAGATACAGAAACACACAGATACACACACACACACAGAGACAAACAGAAACACCCAAAACAAACCTATCCGTGCTTTAAAACAAAAGAGATTCTCGAAGGAGATGGATTCGGTTTTTTTTTTGGTGGGGTGGGGGGTGGGGGGTGCGGGTGCGGGTGGTGGGGGGGAGACGACAACGACGGGGGGAAACGAACAGGACTACACATCGTTACTGTCGAACATGTACAAAGAACAGGGTGCGGGAGAAAGGAGGGACGGAGAGAGGGAGTGGGAGGGAGGGAGGGATGGAGAGGAGGAGAGGGGAGGAAGGTCACAAAACTGGACTGGACTTAACCGCAGTGGACTACGCAGAATGGAACCGTAGTGGGACTACGGAGAATGGAAATACCACACGAGATACAAAAAAAATACAAAAACAAAAAAAAACAGAAGGGAAAGTGTGAATTGCTGCAGGGTTTGCGTGTTTAATCGCAGGGAATAACTTTTATCCTTTTATCCTCCCCCCCCCCTTTGGCACATCGTGGAGTTCCCGCGCTTTGCGAGGCAGGCTTAACTAATCTAGAGGATAGGTCCCGCTCACAGGGTATCCCCAATAAGTTAACTATAAGGTTAATAAATAACGTCCTTCGTTCCGAGGCAGTAAAAATTTGTATAAAAATAGAGCTGCTTTTTTTACAAATAAAATTTACAGGCTTCCCTGTGGCTCTCCTCCTTTTTTATTTTCAAATTTAAACGCCATTGAATGTTAGCCTTGAATTTTATTCCTTTTATTCCCACCCCCCCCCCCCCCCGCCCGCCCCCACTCCCTCCCTCCCTCTCTCACTTCCCCGCCCACTCCCCTCCGCCCCCCCCCTCTCCCCTCCTCTCTAAGGTCCCCTAAACAGATCTCAAAGGCTTTTTTTTTTTTGGGGGGGGGGGGTGGGTGGGTGGGGGGGGGGGGGGTACATCCGCACACTCACGCACTCCACAGAGAAGCAGACGCACGAGCGCGCAAAAAACACACACGCGCGCGCACGCGCAGACACAAAACACGCGCGGGCGCGCGCGCTCGGAAACACCGACGAACGCCCGCGCGCCCGCGCGCAAATAACATACGCGGACAACACGCCGCAAACATGCACACAAACGCGCTGCACGCGCGGGCGGATGCGAAGACGCGGACGTACACGCGCGCAGACGCGCGGGCGGACACGCCACGCGCGGAGACACGTGGCGATAACAGACACGTTCAAAACTGCCAATTTAGGGGAGGGGTTGGGGGGGGAGTGGGGGTTGTGTGGGGGGGGGGGGGTGGGGGGGGGGTGGGAAGGGGGAAAAGACCCTTGCGATCTGATCAGGAAATGTCATTCCATTCTAAGCTGTTACCATCGTTATAAATTTTCACTGGAGAACAGAGAGAGAGAGAGAGAGGTATAGAGGGTGAGAGCGAGAGAGTGAGTGATCGATCGTGTGAGAGAGAGAGAGAGAGAGAGAGAGAGAAATAATTTTAAAATAATAATCGTAAAGTATTATTAGTGCTTCAGAGTTGGAAACTCTTTCAGGCCAGGGCACCTCGTCATTAACCTGTAAACTACCGGTGCCTTGTCAACGTAGGTTAACTGGGTCCTTAACAAGGACCTTCGGTGCATCCAATTCACTTGGGTTTGGCACCAGTGGTTTCGGACTTAAAATTGCACACATCGGTTTTATCATCTTTTTTTTTTTGAAAAAAACCCCCTTTTTTTTTAAGACATCTTAATTATTATTATTATTATTATTATTATCAATTTTTTTTCCGCCCCAAAAAAAAACGTATCTTCTACGGAACAAAGCGAAAATTATATACCGTCAATACAATAAGATTTAAGATACTGAACGTAAACAGGTTGGGGTGGGGGTGGGTGGGGTTTTGGGGGGGGTTGGGAGGGTGGGGTAAGGGGGTAGTGAGGTGGGGGAGGGAAAGGGGATGGGGGGGCGTCAAGTGGGGGGTGGAAGGGGATAACGGGGATGGGGGGGGGGGGGGAGAGGGAAGGAAGGGGGAAATGGAAGCGTAATGTCAGATACTGTCTCTGGATGAATGTTGGCAATGATCCTCCTCAGCCTCTGCACAGAGACGGGCTGTTTCATGGGACTTACCCTAACAAACTTAAAACAACAGCGTGTAAGCTCCAACCCTTAGACTCAGTAAGGCTTGCTGTCGTTCTTGGATCGTTTGAGCTGCACCTTTAAGCGCTTCATGCCAATCTGAAAGCCATTCATAGCCTGGATAGCAGCCTGGGCTGAGACTGGATTGTCATAGCTCACAAAACCTGTGTGGGAAGGGGGACAGAGAGAGAGAAACAAGAGTCAATCCAGATCTATCTACCCAACCCCTCCAGATCTCTCCGACCTTCGCCTGTGCCGGATCGGAAACCTGGTGGGCCGTTGCTGCTCACCGCGACGACGACGACCACTTGCATTTTTGCACCGCGCCTCTGGCGCAGAGCAGCCCCCGACTGTGGGGTTTTTGCGGGCGAAAACGCGGCAGCCGATGGCGCACAGCAGCGTGTCCCCCGCAAACAGTCGCGGATTGAGAGTCACCTAAATTATTATTTATTTTTTTTTCGAAGGGATTATTCGCTCCCGGAAAAAAGCGATCCGCCCATCGACCGACAACCGGGTTCCTACTTATTGCTTGACAAAACAAGAGGCCTGTGTGTGGAGTAACCAAACTCGCCCCAACTTTTCGCCCTGACCCGGGAATCGAACCCAGGTCCTCTCGCTTGCGAGGCGAGCCATCTCGCCACCAAGCTGCAGGTTGAGCGGTTAATTAATAATAATTAATTAAGCTAATTAATAATATCCCAGAGCGCTTATAATATATCATTAACGCAATCCGGCTTTGAACAACAACAGCAGCAACAAATTACATGTTGTAGAGCGCCTTTCACGTCTGGAGGACGTCCCAGGGCGCTGGACAGTCAGGGGTCGGAACCCGAGCATAGGGGAGGGGTGGTGTAGGGGTGAGGGAAGGCAGAGGGGTGGGAGGGCGACCAAAGGCCCGGTTGAAGAGAAGGGTCTTGTGACCGGCCTTGAAGGATGTGAGGGAGGAAGCGAGGCGAAGGGACCGTGGGATGGAGTACCAGAGTGTGGGGGCAGAGAGGCTGAAAGCCCGGCCACCGATGGTAGGGCGGGTCGGGCGGGAGACGTGGACGGAGCCCGGTGAATGGAGGGAGCGGGCAGGTTGTCATAGCTGGGTCCGAAACACTGATCATCCAGGGCCTTGGGACGTCCTCCCCACGTGAAAGGTGCCATACAAATATTGTTGTTGGTGTTGTTGTTGACAATAGCTCTGCTTTCCCCCATTCCCCCAACTATCCGCAGTCGAAACGTTCCTTTCAGCAACTGACCCAAACGTACCAAAGCACTTGCTAAGATTGGTCTGTTTGTCGATGAAGACTTTAGCAGACACCACATTTCCAAACGGCATAAACATCTGTAATATGTCCTGGTCGCCAAACTCCTGGGGGAGGTGGTAGATAAAGAGGTTTGCACCCTCTGGACCTGCGGAGGAGATACGGACAAATCTTAAGTCAATCGACTAACAACCGGGTTCCTACTTACTGCTGAGTAAACAGAGGCGAGTGTGTGTGTGTGCGTGTGTGTGTGTATGTGTGTGCGCGGAGTAAGGAATCTCGCCCAAGGTTTCAGTCTGGCCGGGAATCGAACCCGGGTCCTCTCGCTCTCGAGGTGTGGTTCTCACCAAATCGCTACAGGGTGCCACAAATACCGCCAACATACCACCGCTCCCATGCAGGACTGGTGGGTGTGAGTGGGGGGGGGTGGTGGTTGCTGTGTGTGTATTTGTGTGTGTGTTGTGTGTGTGTGGGGGGGGGGGGGGGTGATGGAGCTTGGGGAAATGCTGTACTGTTTATCAACTGCAAATCTGTCAGTGATTGATTCACAGCTCTGAGCTTTCCCTCTCCCAGCAACCAAGAAAGGGGCGAGATACTACAATAATTAAAAGCAATAACTCAACGGCCTGAATTAGGTAAGAACATGCCTCCGGCCCCCTGAGTATACAAGGCAATAAAAGGCTCCCACACACCAATTACGCTGCCCGAGTGTTTAGTGAGTGCACAGGGGCGATTGCTTTCTGAGGTCAATCAAAGCAGCCCCTCTGTGTTGATTTAAGAACGCGTTAAACTGGCGATAAAATCTTATATTTTTTTCAAACTGGCGGCTAAAATAGAAAGCAAATCCGCGGGGTCGGGGCTGGGCAAAGGGATATTAATCATAGAATCGTAGAATCATACAGCACGGGAGGAGGCCATTCGGCCCATCGTGTCTGTGCCGGCTCTTTGAAAAGAGCTGTCCAATTCAATCCCACTCCCCCCGCGCTCTCCCCAAAGCCCTGCAAACTTGTCCACCCCAAATAATTACTTCTCTCTTAAAAGTTGTTATGGAATCGGCTTCCATCACCCTTTCAGGCAATGCATTCCAGGTCCCAACAACCCGCTGTGCGAAAACATTTCTCCTCCCCGCCCCTCTGTTTCTTTTAACAACTATTTCGAATCGATGTCCTCGGGTTACCGACCCACCCGCCAGCGGGAATAAGTTTCTCCTTGTTTGCCCTATCGAATCCCCTCATTACCTTGAGAACTTTTATAACAACAACAACTTGGATTTATATAGCGCCCTCCACGCCGGACGGCATCTCAGAGCGTTTCATTAAGTCTCCTCTTAACCTTCTCTGCTCCAAGGAGAATAATCCCGGCTTCTCTCGCCTCTCCCGATAACTGAAGCCCCTCATTCCTGGTACTATCCTGGTCAATCTCCTGTCCACCCTCTCCGAAGCCTTGACATCCTTCCTAAAGTGTGGGGCCCAGAACTGAACACCGTCTCTCGCTGAGGCCTAACCAGTGTTTTATAAAGGTTCATCATAACTTCCTGACTTTTGTATTCTATGCCCCTATTTATAAAGCCTCGTATCCCGTATACTTTTTTAACAGCTTTATCTACCTGTCCTGCCACCTTCAATGATTTACTTATATGAACCCTCAGGTCTCTCTGTTCTTTGCCCCCCTTTAAGTTGTACCATCAGCTCATAGTGCCTCTCCTCATTCTTCTTCTTCTCAAAACGCATCACTTCGCATTTCTCCAAAATTAAACTTCATCTGCCACCTGTCTGCCCATTTTCCCAGTCTGTCTCTGTCCTCTCTGCAGTCTGCTCCTATCCTCCGCGCTGCTTACTACTTTTCCTGACTTAGCATCATCGGCAAACTTGGAAATTGTACTCCCCGTACCCAAGTCCGGGTCATTTATACAGGTCCCAATTCCGACCCCTGGGGGACAGCATTGCCCACATCCCTCCAGCCAGAAAAATAAGTGTTTTTATCTTAAGCCTTGTGTTATAGAAGGATGTGTACCTCCAACGATCTATCTCTGGGGTTCCTGTGTGTGTAGGTGGGACGCAGGGAATTCCTCGCTCGGTTCGGATACTCTTAAGCAACGGCGATGGGAGCCTCCGCACGTGTCGGACACCCGGCCTGACCCCAAAATATAAACCTTCGACAAGGCCATAAACCCTCGAAAAGGCCATAATAAATTGACAGCATGACTTTGGCCAGCCGGGGGATGGTGGTGGGGGTGTGTTATCCGCCCGCGCTCGCTCTACCACCCCCCCCATAACCCGTAAGCGTTCCGTTATGTTTCAGGGGGAAAAGGAAAGGCGAACAAAAAAAAATGTTGCTGCACCCGGGTTCGTAGGCGTTGCTCAAAGCGACCAAAAAAGGTTGGACCCACCCACCCACCCACCCTCCCTGATTTAAGTGGCTGGCGTGATGAGCTGCCCCTCTTGCCAACCTGGCGCCCCACTCCCCCACCCCCCCCACCCGCCCGCTGGGCTGGTTCACTCACCCTCTTTCTGACTGCCGGCCGCGCTCTGTTGTTGAAGCAGGCTCTGGCTGTATAGCGTGGGCAAGGCAGCGGCTGCGTACTGCTGGATTCCTGAGTAAGCCTGGGTCAGCGCGTCCATGGTGCCCGCCGTGCCGTTCGTCAGACTGCTGGCCCCCAGACCCCCGTTCAGAGCCGCCATACCTGGGAGCATCGGGAACAACTTCAATCGCATCACCCCCGACCTCGGAACGCGATGCAGGTGGGAAGGAACAGGAGCGGGGGCGGAGACGGGGGCGGAGACGGGGGGGAGAGGGGTGGAGGCCGCTTTGGGCCCCTCGAGGCCTGTCCCGCTATTGCACGAGAGCAGGGCCCATCTGCCCCCAATGAACCCGCCTTCGCTCCTAATAATGATCCTCGCGCTTGATACGGCGCCTTATCCCGTCTTCGAGCCGTCTCAAAGCGCTTGGCGGGGTCTATACGCTGTAAAGTGTAGTGACTGTGCGCTTTGCGGGCGGAACAAAAATCGAATCGCAGAATCTTACAGCGCAGGAGGAGGCCATTCGGCCCATCGTGCTGTGCCAGCTCTTAGAAAGAGCTACCGACAAGTCCAGCTCCCACACCCGCTCTTACTCCTTTCTAAGTACCCACTCCAATTCCCGTTTCGAATCGGCTTCCACCACCGCTTTCAGGCAGTTCATTCCGGGCCGCAACGACTCTCCGGGTAAATAATAATCCTTGCAATTGATACGCCTTACCACGTCATTGAGACGTCTCAAAGCGCTTCACAGAACATACTGTGAGATGGATGGACCGTGTATTTTGTGGGCGAAAGGCGGCAGCCAATTCCGCTCAGCAGCGTTCCCCACAAACAGCCATGGATTGAGCGGCCGAATTATTATTATTATTATTTTTTAAAAAAGAGATTATTACCTTAAAAGCGATTTGCCAATCGACTAACAACCGGGTTTACTGCCGTGCGGTGTACGGAAACTCGCCTAAGGTCTCACCCTGCCCCGGGAATCGAACCCGGGTCCAATCTTTGCTCTTGAAAAGCGCCAAGGCGAGTTGGTGAAGGGAATCTCGCTGTGACTGGATGGTGCTGTGGTCTATTACACACAAACACAGACCCTCTCGCGCTCTCCCCACACCCCAAACCCCCCACCACACCCCTCCACCCTCATCCACTCCACTAATTAACCCTCATCCCCTACATAGTATACATTACCTGCCAGTGCATTAATATTATTTAATCCAACCGTTGCTCCAGCCAGTCCCTGGAGCGTCCCCAGAGAGGTTAGAGAGTTCATAGCAGCACCAGCGCTCGAGTTTGCGTTTGTCCCAGCGACTGCATCGATGGGAGGACAGGACGTGTGCGGGGGAGAGAGCGAGAGACACAGAGAGAGAGACAGAGAGACAGAGAGAGACAGAGAGAGAGAGGGTACGAGAAAGGAAGAGAGAGAGAGAGAGAAAGAGAAAGAAGAAAAATAAGACACACAAGCCATTTTACTGGTGAATTTCAAAAGGGGTGGGAGAGCGGGAGGAGAGAGGAAAATTTTGAAAGCAAAACAATGCGGCATATTTGCCCTCTCTCCCACTTCTCCCCTCTCCGCACACCTCTCCCTCTCTCTCCCCCTCCCCTGCATCCCCCTCCCGGGTTGGATCGCGCCCACCGTACTCAAAACACACGTGGCTTCTCACGTCCTACCCGGCCTCGCACCCTCGTACCCTGACCCCTTTTTTCCACGCGGCATGCAAAAGGGTGAAGGACAATGTCCATCGGTCCATCAGTGACCTACAATCGTCCTCGCTGCAAACGTGAGCTGTGCGGAGGTGCCTGGCGGAAGCTGGGAGATCAGAAGCCATCGCTCGCTGTCAGTTTAAGTGCCGCAGGTAGAGAGCGAGACGGCTTAGGGCTTCGCCCTGCCTGGGCATCGAACCCAGCTCCTCTCACCTGCGAGGCGAGCCCTCTAACCACTACGTTGTTTGTCGTGGATAGAGCAGGACGTTTCCCAAGTGCATTCCTCTCCCCCGTACTACAAAAATACTCGGTGAGAGGGCTGGGGGTGGGAGTGGTGGGCGGCGGGGAGGGGTGGGATGGACAAAGAAGGATCAGATGAATCCTCCGTTCCTCCCCCCACTCCGCCTCCAATCAATCCCCCCTCCCTTCCCCCGTCACGATTTGCTCCTCAGTCCCTCTGAGAGGATGTTAGATTGATACGCAACAACTCTCCCCCACAACGCTGGGGAGGAAACTCATCAACTCCTCGAGATTTACTGTGATTACGTTGCGTTTCAGAGAGGCCAGAATTCACCAAATTCTTAAGCACAGCCTTAATTTTGAAGCTGTTTCTCTCTCTCTTTCCCGCCCCCATCCCTCTCTCCCTCTCTGTTTCTGTTAAAAACCACAGAAAATACCCGACCTCGAGGTTAACTTAAGTTAAAGCTGCGTTCTGCCAGTGGCCAAACTTCCGGATGCTCTGAAGTGGTGCGTAAACCAGAGTAAAATCTAGAATGACCCGAGTAGAGTAACAATTTAGATCGACCAGCGCGAGAGAAAAAAAACCAGAACCCCCGGCGTAAAACCCTGAATAAAATCTAGAACAACCGTACAGGAAATAACTAACGTATGAACCTAGACCGACTCGCGTAAACTCTAGAACAACCATAGAGTAAACCCTACAGCATCTAGACCCGGGCTCGGGGAAGTTCTCCCTCCTTCCCAGCCCAACCGCATCCCCTCTCAGTCCTGCCCTAGGTCCTTGCAAGTCGTTTTTTTTTTCAGGTGTGAGAGAGAGAGAGAGAGAGAGAGAGAGATAGGAAGCAAGAGAAAAAAAGAGAGGAGAACAAAGAGAGAGAGGGGGAGAAAACCAGAGAGAGAGAGAACGAGAGAGAGAGAGAGAGGAAAAAAATATACTGTCGCCAAAAAAAAGAGGGGTGGGGGGGGGGAAAAAGGTGATTGGGGAAATGAATACACACCTGGGAATGATCCCTGCATATTGCTGTTGCCCCATTGCACTGTAGGAATGAACGCAAAATTATTCACACACGCGAACACCAATTACTGCTTCGTTACTCAACCTCTTAAAGCATAACATTTCGAAGTAGGATTTGGGAACAAACTCTTGCCTTGTGGTGTGAGTAAATGGCGACAGATCAATGCTGGTGGACTAGTGGGATGGTGGGAGGGGGGGGGGTTGGGGGTGGGGGGGTTCGGGGTTGGGTGGGGGAAAGGGAGTAGTCACAATGCTGGGAACTGAGATGCCAACAAACATACTACTACTAATAATAACACAATAATAATCCTTGCATTTGTTATGGCGCCTTATCACTTCTTCGAGACCCTTCACAGCGCTTCACGGGATAATACCGACTCTAAATTTTGTGGGCGAAACATGGCAGCAGCCAATTGCGCACAGCAGCGTCCCACACAACAGCCGTGGATTGAGTGGCCAAATTATTAGTATTTTTTCAACTGAGGGAGGGATTATTACCCCCCCCCGCCCCCGGAAAATCGACCAACAACCGGGTTCCCGCTTGCTGCTGGGCAAACAGAGGGCGCGGCGCGCGCGCGTGCGTGTGGAAAGTAAGAAAACTTCGCCTGGTGTTTCACCCCGACCGGCCCGGGAATCGAACCAGGGTCCCCTCTCGCTTGCGAGGCGAACACTCTAACCCACTGAGGACTCCAGGAGAATAGCTAACTGCCACTGGGCGACTGTTCACCGTAGAGAGAGGGAGGGAGAGAGAGAGACAGAGAGAAGAGAGAGAGAGAGAAGAGGAAGGTTTAAGAAGGAAAGGCGGAGGGTTGATTACCTGGACTTGTCAGGGCACCGAGTGCACTAGAGGTCGAGCTAAGAGGGTTTGTGTTTGTGTTCCCCACGTTGTTCTGGGCTGCGGCTGCGGCGGCTGCGAGGGTAGCCAGGTTCTGTAGCTGCAAAGCGTTCATTCCTAAAGGGAATTAGATTGATGCAATGAGTCAGACGGAGCCCTGTAGCTCAGTGGGTGAGAGCCCTCGCCTCGCAGGGGCCCGGGTCCGATTCCTTAGGCGAGTTTCCTTACTCCACACACACGCGCGCGCTCACACGCGCCCTCTGGTTACCCAGCAGTAAGTAGGAACCCAGTTTGTTAGTCGATTGGCGGATCGCTCTTCTGGGGGCAATAATCCCTCCCCCCAAAAAAAATCCACGGCTGTTTGTGGGGGGACCCCTGCTGCGCGCAATTGGCTGCCGCGTTTCGCCCTCAAAATATACAGTCACCACACTTCACAGTATAGCCTGTGAAGCGCTTTGAGACGTCTCGACGATGTGAGAAGGCCCTACATCAAATGCGAGGATTATTATTATTAATAATATAGTGCCTGTTACGTCAGGAGGACATCCCAAGGCGCTGGACAGTGAAGAATTTGGATCCGAGCTGGGGGTTGGGATCAGGAGGGGTGGAGGGCAGCGAGGTGGGTGGGGGGGGGGGGGGGAAGAGGATGGGAGTTTGGGGGTGGGTGGTAGGAGCGAGAGGGTGACCGAAAGCACGGTCGAAGAGGAGGGTGTCTTGAGATGGGCCTTGAAGGAAGTTTTACTGGTGAAGGTAACCCGGGCCGGGGGAAATGAATGGGGGCGGAGGGGGCGAGAGTGGGAATGGAGTGTCAGTCTAGACTACACGAGGCCCAATATTGGGCTTGAATCCACAACCACCTGTTTTGAGTTGGGGGAAGGCAAGAGCCTGACCACTTGAGCCGGGCTGACATTCCACATCAAACGGGTCAAATGCTGTCCTGTATCCCCACTGTACTCCGATCCCTTTGCGATCACGTGCGCACGGATAACAAGCAACCTGGTAATTGGCTTCTGCCGGCGTCAGAAGTCCACCGACCGACGTTAATTAGCACAAACAAGCGCGGTGACATTTTACACGCATCCCCGGCCGGAAACTTTGCCCTTTAAACTCCGCCGCTCGATCGCACATTAAATTAATTGCACCGACGGGCCGGGCTCCGCAAATTGATATTACTCATTAGAAAGTTTCTAATTTATTAAATAACCATCCACTCTTTAGAATACCATTAATTCCTCGTTTTTTACTCATTTAAAGCAGATGAAGGTCACTCTCTGTGTGCACCCAAATTAAGCAGGTACGAGATTTGCGCTTAATGGGATTTTATGCCCTATTAAAACAAGCTTCTTCAGAGAACAAATCTGGTTATAAAGTGGTCGTGTTCACGATGCATGTGAACAACCCGTCCGCTCGTTCCACCATCCCCCCCACCACCGCCACACAGAGTCGTTCATCTTGAAAGTGGCTGATTTTCAGCTCACGAGGACTTCCGGAGGCAACGGAATTTCCGAATCGAGCCCAGCCCTCTGCGACGGTCTCCTGATCCGGTTCCTGAGCCAGGGGGGTCTACAGTATTCCAGGGACTGCCCAGCCCGGCCTGGCTCATCGGCAGGACCTTGAAGGGCCGACCAGTCACAGGGAATCCTCCCCCTCAGCTCCCGTTAACCCTGCAAGTCAAAGCACTAACGGGGAGAGTGGCCCTAGCTGGACGAGCAGCGGGAAAGCTTGCCAGACAGGGGCTCTGAATGGCAAGCTATGCTGGTTTAGTTGACGAGAATCCAGCAGTTACCCCCAACACAGAGCGAGTAGAACAGCGTATGGAGAGAGGGAGTTAGGATGGTCGACAGTTGAGCCTAGCTCAGGACCCGAACTACCATTTAACGTCACTGTTCTAATAAATTGGAATGAATTCATTGACGGTGTGACACGAAAACACGGGCACGGGCAAGTTGGGCCCCAATGGCTTGTTTCCGTCCTGCAAGGTCGCTACGTGGCTCGTTGTGTGAAACTTTGAAATCCAGGTTTCATTTGAAAGCGCTGGAAAAAAAGGGCGTGTAAAAGCGCAACCCATCGCGCTCGTTCTCTCATCTCGTCTCACAGTAAGTACGCTGTCGTTATCATAAATCTGCATATCAATAAGCAGGAACAGATGCCAGTTGTTAGAAGTCCCTGCCACTCACCGATGGTTAGGAAGTGACAGCTGGATAATTACAGGCAATCCTCATCAGGTCTGTTATGGTGTTGACATCAAGAGGTTCTCATTGCAACATCGGCTCAGCGCAACTCAGGTAAAAGCACCTCCCCACCTCCCTCCCTCCCTCCCTCCCTCAGACGAGTCTGAGAATGCTACTCTGCAGAAACAGGCCTTTGAGCTCACGGCGTGTCAGCCCGGCTCAGTCGTTAGCACACTTGCCTCTGAGTCAGAAGGCTGTGGGTTTCGAACCCCCATGTCGGGACAAAAAGTCTTTCCACTCACCTGCCATTTGTTGGATGCCGCTGAAAGCCCCAAGGTTACTGGATGAGGTGGCTTGCTGTAAGAGCTGTGAACAAACAGAGTGCACCGTTGTAATCATAATATAATAATAATAATCCTTGCATTTGAGACAGCTCCCCGTCACCTCGTCGAGCCGTCTCAAATCGCTTCACAGAATACACTGTGAAGTGAATTGACCTGTGTACTTTGCGGGCCAAACGCAGCAGCCAATCGCGCACAGCAGCGTCCCCCACGAACCGCAATGGATTGACTGACCGAATTCTTCTTCTCAAGTTGTTTTTTCTTAAGGAATTATTACCACCGGAAAAGAGATCCGCCGATCGACTCACAACCGGGTTCCTACTTACTGCTCGGTGAACAGAGGCGGGCGGAGGAAGGAAACTTGCCCAACGTTTCGCTCTGCCCGGGAATCGAACCCGGGTCCTCTCGCTTGGAATCACTGTGCATGTTGTGGGCGAAATAGGACAGCCAATGGCGCACAGCAGTGTCTCCACAAACAGCCGTGGATTGAGTCACCGCATTATTATTTTTTGGGGGGGGGGGGGAAGGATGATTGCCCCTGGAAAGCAATCCGCCACAACCGATCAAAAGAGGAAGGTCTTGATGAGAGGCGGTGGTGGGGGTCGGTGGGGATTAGGGCGGAGGAGAGATTCAAAAGCCAACCTTGTGACAACATCACGTGAAACAGGAAAGGGTTACAGACGCGACAATATGAAGCAACGCAAACATTTACTCTGCTCGTCCCTGGATGGGACGAAATAAACTTCGAGTCAAAACTTTTGAAACAGCGGCAGCAAAATAACAAGTCCGATACAGCTGATATCTCTCTCTCTCTCTCTCTCTCTATATATATATATATATAGCTGCATAACATAACATCTATTTTGGGAGGAAGGGGGTTGAATATTATTCACAATTGACATTCTTTATTCATCCCGTGAAATAAAATGCACAAAACCTGGCGGTAATTTTTTTTACCACAGCGTAAATACTTTCTCTCTCTCTCTCTCTCTCTTTTGATCGCACAGTCCCTCCCTCCCTCCCTCCTTCCTTCCGACGTCGCTCTTTGTACAATGCCAGAACTTTGGGAATTCTTAAAGTGGCTGCATTTTTCCCCCACCACCCCCGGCGTCGAATCACAGTAACCTTGGCGTCACTGTCCAGCCACCATTAGCAACAGGCGCCTTAGTCCTGAAATCTCTCATCATCAGAACCTGGAGACCCTCAGAGGCATCATTTGGGATCGTGCAGCATTTTGTCAAAGCTCTTGAACGATTTTGGGAGGAAGGGGGTTGAATATCCTTCACAATTGACACTCTTCATTCATCCCGTGAAATAAAATTCACAAAAGTAACATGGTGGTAGTTGTACCACAGCATAAAAACTTCTATCTTTCTCTCTGTCTCTCTCTCGTGGGTTCAAGCCCCCACGTCAGGACTCGGAATCACACAGTCTAAGCTGACGCTCCAATGCAGCGCTGGGGGGTGTGTGTGTGAGGGGGGGGGGGACGCCGTCCTTCGGAATGAGACGGTAAACCGAGGTCCCGTCTGCTCCTGTTCAGGTGGTCGTTAACTGAATCCTAACATCCGATATTCTATCAACCTTTACACTTTCCCCACAGTCTATCTACCCCTATCTCTCTCTCTCTCTCTTTCTCCTTCGTTCTCTCTCTCTCTTCCGTTCTCTCTCTCTCTCCCCCTCTCTCTCTCTCTCTCTCTCCATCGCCCGTTGAAAAGGGCGCGCCGACGAAAAAAGAAAAACAACGGGTGAAAAAAGTAACTCCACATCCTGCTCCGTCCGCCCGCCCGCCCGCCCGCTCGCTCTCACGTACGCACGCTCGCTCGCTCGCTCGCACGCCCGGGTAAAACGCTCCGCCGGCAAAGAAAGGAAGGAAGAAAGAAAAAAAAAATGACTGACTGTGTGCATGTTTTGCTGTACGAATACTTCCTTTGCTCCCATTTCGCCACTGGTCTTGGTTCCCCATTGACCACTTACAGCCAGGTACTGTGGGCCTAGTGCACCAAGGCCAGTGAGGTTTCCCCACGTCGCTGAGTTCAGCTGTTGCATCTGCTGAGCCAGTTGCTGCTGTAGACGCCTCTGCTCCTTGTCCTTTTGCGTGTCGGCAAACTTAACCACAATGGGCGACGAGCAACCCTGCCACGGGACACAGACAAAGGCTCGGTTACCGGAGGAGGAGGAGGAGGAGGAGGAGGAGGAGGAGGGGTGGGGGCTCCGCGTGTGTCTGTCTCTGCGCGTGTCTACTCTCCCTCAATCCCTCCGCCTTTCCCCCCTTCTCTCTCTCTCTCCCCCCTCCCTTTATCAAGTCTCGCCACCCCACCGGCTCGGAGACACTGTCCTACGTGGTGGTGGTGGTGGTGGTGGGTCGTTATATAAGTGCAAATTGTTGTTGATGTGTGTGTGTGTCCTTCTGATCCCATCCTTCCACGACAACCATCCCACCACCTTCCCACCGCGGCATCAAAGCATCAATAACATAAGAACACCCCCCCCCACCCACCCACCCACCGCCCCACCCTCCCCAACGCCCGTCAATTGAGGCAATTTACTCGTTTGAAGCCTGTCCAGCGAGCGAAAGACGACTTGAGAAAAAAAAAATTACATTAAGCGATAGTAATTTAAACAAAATGTTGATGGAAATGAAAAAAAAAAGTTTGAGCTGAAGATTTTTGCGAAGAAGGTATCAGTACGAATAAGGATTTTTTTCCCCCCGCCGCCGCCCCCCCCTCCCCCATGAAAAAAATCCCGTCGTAATTTGGTTAACGCGAAATGCAAAATTTAACGTAACAAATGTTTTCAAAGTGAACGTTTTTTTTACACATTTCTGTAAAGACTTTAGGCTTTTCGGAGGGCAAGTTTCGTTAGTTAAAAAAAAATACAAAATTTAACGTAAAAAATCTTTTCAAAGTGAACATTTTAATACATTTTTTGTAAAAAGTCTAGATATATAATATATACTATATAAAAAACTATCGATACATGAGACTTTCTCTTCCTGCACCCCAATCCCTTCCTGTACAAAACACCATTGTTACTTGGGTTCGATCCACAAACAGAAATGAATAGTAATTCAAGTACATTGCTCAATAAAGATAAAGGCAAAGGTGATTTAATCAGATTTCTGAAATGTTAACAGATGAGCTCTTGTTCTCCTTCCTCCCTCCCTCCCTCCCTCCCCTTTAGTCCCTTGCTTTTTTTTTGGCTCTGTTCATCAAATTATTCTTTTTAATGTTTTGACAGACATAAACCTACAAAAAGTAGCAAAACTCCCCCCGAAAAACCTGCATCAACTTTTAGCTGGCGATTGGGAATGTGTGTGTGTGTGTGTGTGAGTGTGTGAGAGTGCGCTCTGGGATGCTATCGTACGTGAAGGGGTGCGATATATAAATGCACGTTGTTGTTGGTGTGGGTGTGGGTAGGTGTGTGTAGGGAGGGTGGGAATTGTGGGATCTAAAATGTGGAATTTCTAATTTTATTCTGTAACCAGGAGCGCGAGTTGTGCAGATTAGGGACTCGCAAGATTTTTTTCGCATGAAGAACGCTCTTGTGATCTCAGCCTTCCTGAACGCCCACCCGACCCTAACCATCTTCCCATCACAGCATCAAGCCGTGGCTTAAATGTGCCCACACTCCTGGCTTCAACCACCCTTCCCTTCCTGGCAACCTGTTCCAGTCGTTGAATACTCTCTGGGTAAATAAAAACCTTCCCTGAAATTGTCCTTTGCCTCCTTAATCCTCTTATTATACTGTTTTGAAGCTCCTTATCCTGGGAACTGCCTTCCATAAACTCCGCAATTTATTGGTAATCAACGACTGGAACAGATTGCCAGGAAGTGTGGTGGAGGCCACGACACTGGGAACGTATTTCGCTCAAGTCTGTGATAGGCGGATGGTAGGGTGGGTGTTTGGAAGGGATGGGATTGGTTAGGCAGAAGGGCTTCCTTCATCCAAACTGATCTTGTGAGGACAGTACATATCTGCGTCACAACAGAAGCCCTTCAACCTCCACACATCCGGCCCCCCCCACACCACCCCAAAACACTCCCCTCCTCTACTGGCATCAGTGTTTGTTCCTCCAACTAAGCCATATGACCTAATCCCAATTCCCCGCCCTTTCCCCGTCCCCTCTCAAAACCCTCGTCCACACCAGCTTCTCTAACTTGGCTCCAACAAGCGTCCCAGCAAGTCCCCCAAACTCACAACCCTCCGTGAGAGAATTCACCCCAATTTCCCCCTTTCACGTTCCCAATCATAATCACACCCTCCTTCACTCTCGATTCTCCTATCAGCGAAAATACCGCCTCACCATCAATACCACCCCTCGAACTCTTCCATTAACTTAAGCCCCTCTACCCTCACACCCACCCCACCCCCTGCCTTCAACCAACCGCCCCCACTTTAAAGAGAGGCTGACTTGAACCGAGAAACTATGGGGCTTTCGAGCTTCTGAGGGTGTTCTCTGATGCTGAAGGGAGTTGGGATTGGAGTGGCTGAACTCCAATGGAGGAGCTATCAAACCGACGTGAACTTGGCAGGGGGAAACCTGTGAAGACAACAGCTGTCAATGGACAGTGTGCGGTTTGAGTTGGTTAAACTCCGCAAATTATCGGTAAACAAGGACTGGAACAGGTTGTCAGGAAATGTGGTCAAGTGGGGGGACCACTTCCAGCCCAGTAGCAGCAAAGTCCAGTTAACTCCTGATGATAACGCCTCGCTCCAAGGGGAAAAGGGCCCAGTGACGAGTTATCAGGAGTGACGAGTTAGGCGTAATAATAATAATAATAATAATCCTTGCATTTGATATAGCGCTTTTCACGTCAGGAGGACGTCCCAAAGCGCTTCACAGTAAAGTGAATTGACTGTATATTTGTGGGCGAACGCGGCAGCCAATTGCGCACAGCAATGTCCCACAAACAGTCGTGGATTGAAAATGACCAATTTATATTGTTTTTGGTTTTGGAGGGATTATTATTAGGCTCTGTGTGGAGTAAGGAAACTTGCCCAAGGTTTCGCCCTCTGCCTGGAATTGAACTCAGGTCTCTCACTTGCAAAGCGAGTGCTCTAACCACTGAGCTACAAGACTCCACTATAGGTATAAATGCTTCAATAACTATGGCCGGGATAGTGATAGCACGATGGCTTAAGTGGTAGTGGCAAGTTCAACCAGGGTGTCAAGTTATCAGGAGTTCTCTGTAGTTTGTAGCTTTGAAATTGTGGGGGTTGGAGAAGGCGTGTGCTGTGGGGGGGGGGGGGGGGGGGGGGGGCTGTTTATATGAAAGCAGGGGCTTACTGTCAACGCCCCTCATGGCCCCACCCTGTGTAACACTGCGCCTCGACAAACACAACGAGTGCACACCGCGGAGGCCCAAACAAATATGTTTAAGCGGAACACGAATAAAAAAATTAATAATCCTTGCATTGGGAATATCGCCTCCACGCGCGGGAAGGACGTCTCAAAAGCGCTTCACAGGATTTTCCGGTGACACCGAGTGCCATTGCAGTAACAGTTTGGTCACTTCGATCCACGGCTGGTTGTGGGGACGCGCTGCCGTGCGCAATTGGCTGCGGCGTTTCGCCCCCAATATATACAGTCAGATCCACTTTGCCGTGTACCCTGTGGAGGGCTTTGAGACGTCTCAATGACGGGACAAGGCGCTCGGTCAAATGCAAGGACGTCATGTAACCCAATCTAATCTGAGTTGGCAATTGCGGGAAGGAATCGGGAATAGGGGGGGGGGGGAACCCCCAGCCCGTAAACGCGGTTGCTACGGAGGTCGACGCAAGTTGTCGCGATGGGTCATCTTTTTGGGGTTAGTCATAAAATACAGGGAGACAGGCAGGGAGGGAGGGATGGAGGAGGTGGGGGTGAGGGTGGGGGGGGGGGAAACGAGGGCGGAAGGCGGGGGTAAACGAAACAAAATCCAACACAAGTGTCACAGAGAGTTAAACAATGCAAACAACATGTACAATGAGAGAGAAACAGAAAATAACAAGTTTTTTTTGAACTCCTTCCACACACACCCCCCCCCCCCCCCACCCTGTTTAAAGTCAGATCTTGATCGTAGACCTCGAACATGCACACGGACACACGCACACACACACACACACACACGAGGCACACACACCAACACGCCTTCAGGATTTGCAACGTCTCAGCAAGCAGACAAAGCTACCGATAACATCAAACTCTCCCGATCCCTTTCTTCCCCTTCCCATTGAAGCCCCTCTCCCCATTCCCCCCACTCTCAATCGACCCTCTACCTCTTCATCCCCCCCCCACCCCTCCCTCGCCCCACCCCCCACCAATCCATCAATCCATCCCCATCTGAGAGGTCATTCAGTCACCGGGGCTGTCTGTTTCTTTGCATTTTACTTGAAATACACCAATTTTAACGTTGCGGAAGTCTAGTGTTCGTTTTAAGACACTGCGTTTTAAAGCATCGTCACTGTCAGAGAGTTATCTCTCTCTTTCCCTGCCTTCCCCCCACACCCCATAATATTTTTGCATCCTAGTTAATTAAAGCTGCAGTATATTGAATGAATCGCTTTCCCCTTATCCCAATGCCCCCCCCCCCCACCCACCCCAACTACTCTCGCACCCCAAAAAGAGAACCGATGCGGTTTATGAACTGATGATTTATTTGGGGTTCAAAAGAAAGAGAAATAATTATAATCCTTATCAAAGCGCTTCGCAGGATTTAAAAGCTCTTTTACACCCCCCCCCCCCCCACCACCACTTTCAGGGGTGAGAAGGGAAGAATATAAGAATTTTGGGGGGTAAAAGCAGACCAAGGTCCATTTAGATCACCTTCCACCATCCCGGCAGTTGTTTGACGTGCCGTCTGCTCAAACTATGTGCTGTATCCCCGAGATATTATTTTCTAGCAGAAATCTATCTCGTTTGCTCTTGAAACAAATGACATTTTCTGCTTCCACCCATCTGTCTCCCTCGGGAGCCGTACTCCACGCGTTTACTGCTCGCTCACTATTATATTATTGGGGTGATTGGGGTTGACGCTCGAAGATCTGTGGTTGTATCGCTGACGGGCGGGGTGAAAAACGATGAGTTCAGAGCGGCATTATCGTCGCCAGTACCGTTTGTTCGACAGCAAGAGAGAAGCGGGTAAGATACTTGGGGGAGGTCAAACTGGCAGGGCTATGGGGAGAGAGCGTGGGGGGGGGGAGTGGGGCTGATTTGGACAGCTCTTTCAAAGGGCCGGCACGGACACGATAGGCCGAATGGCCTCCTTCTGTGCTGTATAATTCTACGATACGTCACACACATACACAAAGACTCGCGGGGGGAGAGGGGAGAGAGGGCGGGCGGGGTGGCGGCGGCGGGGGTGTGTGTGTGGGCAAGACATATCTACGCAATCGAGAAACCGTTTGACCGGTAATATACTGCAGCTTTCTCCCTCTTCCCCTCCCTCACTTCCCCTCTCAACCCCCCTTACCCCCACCCCACCCACCCATTGCCAACCAGTACCCCTCTCCCCCACCATCCACCCACCCACCCATCCGCCCGCCCGCCCGCCCACCCACCTCCTCCGCCCCTCCCTCCCTCCCTCCCTCCCAGACACACACACACGCACACACACGCGCACACGCACGCACACACGACCCCCGCCAACAAAGAAACAAGTAAAGGGCAGATATTACAGTACCTCCATGGTTTGAGATTGATGCATGGCTTTGATTGCATTCTGTGCCATTGCCCTTGTTGAAAACGTAACAAATGCACAGCCTGTGGGGGGGACAGGGTGGGTACAAGGGAGCAGAGGAGAGACAAAAAAAACAACAAGACAAGAGGGTTGGACGATTGTTAAACCAACACACGCTACCAGAACAGCCACAGAGACGACACTGTTCTCAGTAGGTACATGAAAAAATACAACAGCTTTTTTTTCTTTTACATTCGCATTTTTTTTTCATTACTGACATTTCCTTCTTTGTCGGTCGCTTGGTCTCTTCTTTTTTTTTTTAGCCGAGAGCGATCAGAGCAAAGCAAGCCGTTTCTCTCCCTCCTCTGTGGCTACTCTCTTCCCCCCCCCGCTCGCTCTTCTCCCCTCTTCTCGCTCCTCGGAACACACACACGCACACACGCACGCACGCGCGCGCGCGCACATCTTCTTTTCTCCAACCCCCCCCCCCACCCCCAATCCTCCTCTCCCCACCCCACCCACCCACACACACACACACACACACTTGTCCACCCACCTCCGCATTCCTTGCGTACGCCCACCTGGGCTTGAGGGGGTGCAGGGGTCGCTGTATACACACAGGCTGACCGAAAAGGTCGTGATAAACTACACTATCATCTAACAAAAAAAAAACCCAAATACCATAGCTTCTTTGAGACTTATTAGACACTGTAATGGTGTCGGGGTTTTTTGGTCACCCCGTACGTACATACAATAGGTATAAGTAGGTTAACACATCTTTCTGTGTGCACGTCTGGTGAACTCAACCCGGATTCACCTCTGCCACTTGCCACATCCTGACTGTTCTGACCCAAGCCTTTCTGACACGAGAGTTAAGCTTGGGTGCGACGGAGAAGAAGGGGGGTGGTGGTGGTGGTGGAGGGGCGGGGTGGGAGGACGGGCGGACGGACACACAGACGGAGGGGGAAAGTGCGCGGAGAAACCATTCGCCGCGGGGCTTGCGGGAATAAAATCATAACCCTGGGGCGGGAGGGCGAATGATATTAAAAGGGCCTTTTCTTCTCTTGGCATGGAGTTAATAATTAAAAAAGGTCACGCATTCAGGGACGAGGGGACGTACGTCATTAAAAGTCAGTTTCTTTGCTGATTTCCTGAGACAAGTGCTTTAACCTCTGCTGTTTGTAGGCTCTACAAATTCCCGATTTTTTATTTTAACCTCTCAGTAACAAGAATGACTGCAGTGCCTCCGGAATTCTAGACAAAGGGGGTTTATCCCTAAAATGATCCCACTCGGATATCAGGCTTTCATTATATCAGATTATTCTAATATATTATCGTATCGCATTTTTATTATATCAGAATTTTAGTCGATTGGCGGATTGCTTTCCGGGGCGGGGGGGGGAATAAGAAAAATCAATCACTCAATCCACGGCTGTTTGTGGGTCACTGCTGCGTGCAAACTGGCTGCCGCGGTTCACCTACAAATCACACAGCCACTGCACTTCGCGGTAAAAAAAAATCCCGTGAAGCGCTTTTGAGCCGTCTTGACGGCGCGATGAGGCGCTGTTTGATTATTCTTGATTATTAATAATGATAGGGTCGTCAAGTATAAGACCGAATGACAGTGTGTGTCTTGAACGCTGGTCTGCCAGTAACACACCCCCCCGTAACAGATAGGTTTTAACCATTAACGTTCAGGCACATTTGTTGAGTCTCTCTCTCTCTCTCTCTCTCTCTCTCGGCCTGTCTGCGTAGATGGGGGAATCAGAGACTATTGAGCAATGTGAGAGCCATGGGATTTTATTAAAGCTCTCCGTGAATAGATTCGACCTTTAGCGAGCAGCTAGGAGTCTGGCTGCAGGATGTGGCGTAGGTTGGAATAATAATAATTAATCCTTGCATTTGATACAGTGCCTTATCATGTCAGGTCGAGATGCCTCAAAGCGCTCCGCAGAGTACACTGTAAAGCGGTGTGACTGCGTGTACTTTGTGGGCGATTTGCGGCGGCCGATTTGCGCGCAGCAGTGTCCCACAAACAGTCGCGGGTTGAGTGACCGCCTTTTTTTTTTTTAGCGGGATTATTACCCCCGGAAAGCGATCCATCAGTCAATCACAACCGGGTTCCTACTTACTGTTGGGTAAACAGAGGCGCGCGTGTGTGTGTGTGTGTGTGTGTGTGTGGTGTGTGGAGTGAGGAAACTTGCCCAAGGTTTCGCTCTGACCTGTCCCGGGAATCGAACCCGGGTCCTCTCGCTCGCCAGGCGAGCGCTCTAACCACTACGCTTCAGGACACCGCAACAAGTCTACAAGGGCAGGAAGGGAGAATCCACAGCTACGGACTGGTTCAGGGGCGTTTAGGTCCTACTCCACACTTACGCAGCTTTTCAGAGGGTCCAGGGTTTGACCAATTGTCCTTGAGGTCAGTGGTCTGAAGGCACAGAGATTATTAGGCCATTTCCGAGTGGCAATGCAGAGGTACGTGAGACAGAAAGCGGTGGGGGTGGTGGCCGGGGGTGGGTGAAACGCTGCATTCTTCAGTGAAGGGCTCCACCAACCCCACTTCTCCCCCCCGCCCCCAGCTCCGTCTCTGACCCCCTTCAAAGACTAACTGGAAAGCACGTCGTACAATTCACACCCAAATCACGGGGTGCCTGCGTGAGGAAGCTCCTTAATGAAGGAGAACCGTTCACAAATCACCCTGTTTTTATTGCCCTCCCCTTTTCCTCCTCCATTCATCCCCCCCACCGCCCCCCCCCGCTCCCTCTCCTCCCTCCTTCCCTCCTGAAATCTCTCTTGCAGCATTAGCGAAAACCGGAGAAAGCGTTTGAGAGGCATTAAGTTTACAAGGCACTGATTTAAACATGCAGACACGGGACAAACGATAAGGGGGGGGGGGGGAGAGAAATATAGAAAGCGGGGGTGCGGGTGGGGGCGGGAAAAGGAGGGTATAATCTAGAGACCCCTCCCCAAAATATGAAAACAACCGATCAAAATTATTTTTGTTTTTTTTAGGTGGGGGGGTTGGGGGGTTTGGGAGAATGGCTGAAATGATAAGTTAATGTTCATGCACAGATGGACGGACAGACAGACTAACAAGACTGTATGCAAACCCCCTGCTTTTCAGGGCAGAATGGAAGGTGGGTAAGTGGGTGATGTGGTGCGGAGAGAGAGAGAGAGAGGACGGAGGTGAGGTGTGGTGGGGAGACAACAGGAGGGGGTGCGGGGGGGGTATGGAAAAAATGTACGTATATGTATTTTTTTGATCGGCCGGGTGTCTGGACACATGTGGAAACCCATCACCGTGCCTCAGAGTATCCAAACCAAGCTGAGAATTCCCTGCATCCCACCCTTACATGGAAATCCCAGAGATAGATTGTTGGACTGGAATGCACTCTCTCTCTCTCTCTCTCCCCCGGGAGGGACGCATTCCTGGTTACCTAATTCCGGAAAGTATTAGGCGCAAGTTGGGTAAGAGCCAAGGCTTGAGGGTGGTGGTGGTGGTGGGGGGGAGCCCAGAGTGTGCGTCGGGGGTAACTGCTGGAGTCTAACCAGGTAAACCCACATAGGCTTGCCATCGATATCACCGTCTGGCAAGCTTGTCCAGCTTTGACCACCCTCACCCGTTAGGGCTTTGGCTCGCAGGGTTAACAGGAGCTGAGTGGGAGGATTTCCTGCCCACAGTTGAAATTTCACGCGTAAGATTTTCACTGTGAAGCACCAACCAGCCCCGAGTGCAGGTGCAGTGCAGTACTTGACTGCAAATGCGTCACAAGAAAGTTTATTCAATTATTATCCTATTATTGTTTCTTTGTTATGCCGTCTCTGTCGTGTCTGTTTTTTTTTTTGAATTGTCGCCTACCTGCCAAGCTGCTGTGTTGTATTTTTTTGGAGAAAGAATTAAGACATTTTATATATATATATATATGTTGTTAAATATATATATGTATAAAGCAGCACTGACGCTACTGAGAATGGTCTTGTGGGTTGAGGTTCTGGGCTGGAGACATGTTTTAAGAAGGGTGTTCTTCACTGATTTCCTCTTCCTCAACACTTGCCCCTCCTCCCACCCTCACTCTCTCCCTCTCTCTCTCCTCGCCGCTCCCCCAACCTCCCCCGACCCCCCCTCCCACCATTCACTGCACTCTCACCCTCAAAAGGCTGTGGGTGCTGGATCCATTGACTGAGGTGAATAGATTTTTGTTTGGAACTCCATCCCACGGTCTGTCTGCCTTGCCCTCTCCTTTGCCCCCTTCAAGACCCTTCCTTTTCAACCGTGCCTTTGATCACCCGCGTACCCCTAACCCTCCCAGCTCCTGAGGCCAACCACCAGCTCGGGTGCAGATCCCTGAATGTCCAGCGTCTTGGGACATCCTTCTGACATGAAAGGCGCTGTACAATTTTGTTGTTGTGGTTGTTGTTAGATAAGGGTAAGGGATATGGGGCACAGCCGAGTATTTGGAGTTGAGATCAGCCATGACCTAATCAGAATGGCGGAAACAGGCTCGAGGGGCTGAATGGCCTCCTCCTGTTCCTGTGTGCGCCCTCCCCACTCCCCCAAAATCCTTCCTGGCTTCCTCGCAGCTGGCAAACGAGGCTCTCTTCGGCGTGTGCTGGGAACACGACCCAGCGAAAGCAATTTCCTCCATCTGACACGGTTAGAGGCAAACACTTGTCATTGTCAAAGAAAACATTTCCTAACACATCTATTATACCGGCCGCCTGCCTAGCGAGCAGTGTGTCTTCATTTTCGCATAAAAACGCCAACAGTCTTTTGCGGACGGATTCCCCCCCCGCCCCCTCCCCCATCTTCTCTTCCCAAGCCCAACCCAACCCCCACCCCAGCAGCCCCCCCCCCCTCCCCACCACCCCATCGGCCCCCCCACTCTTCAGAATCCGTCACACCGTTTTGCTGCAAAGTTAATATCTAAGAGCGGACCCTTCCCGAAACGCGCTGTGTGCAGAACGTGAACGGGTCTAACTTGCCTTAATCTCTGTTGACCGGGAACGGTAACTGGCCTGTCATTTTTAATCAGCGCTATATTAATGATTAAAATTGGTTCAAGCTCTCTCTCCCCCTCGCTCCCTCTTTCTCTCGAGATAATTTTCCAATGCCTCACCACCACAGCCTCTGTGTTTAAACAATGCTTATTACAAGTGCCAATCAACTGTCCTGCCATATTTATTTTTCATTTCACTCTTACCACCGGGTCCCCAGTTGCTAACAGTTGTCAGTACACAAGGCTATTTTTAGCCGCTCTTACAGCTGAAGCAAACAGGCAGAAATAAGACACAGATTTGGATACCGTTACTTGCTCTGATACCCTGACATGAACTCCCCACCCACCCCCCCCACACCCCCCCTCTCTCTCCCTCCACCCTCCCTTCTCACTCCTTCATTCACACAGAGGAGACGTCACAAATCTGCCTTAATATTAGCCTCCGATAATGTCTCTCACCAACCTGGGCCAAAAAGGGAATTAGATATATTACTTGAAAAGGAACCATTTGCAAAAAAAAAAAAAAGGCTATGAGGAAAGAATGAGCGGAGTGGGACTAATTGGGTAGTTCTTTCAAAGAGCCGAATAGCCTCATCCTGCGCTTCCTGCGGATTCTATGATTCAATGAGATCCCGTGAAGCGCTCTGAGGCATTGTGCAAACAGTGAGCACCTCGCTTGCGGCAAGTAATAATAACAGTAATAATCCTTGCATTTGATACAGCGCCTCATCACGTCTTCAAGACGTCTCAAAGCCCTTCACAGGATACACTGTAAATTGAATTGACTGTATATTTTGTGGGCGAGAGCTGATTGCACACAGCAGCGTCCCACAAACCGTTGCGGATTGAGTGACCAAATTATTGTTATTATTATGGATTTATTATGGATACCGCTAGGTGTACAGAGGCGTGCGTGCGGAGTAAGGAAACTTACCTAAGGTTTTGGCCCTGCCCGGGAACCGAACCCGGGTCCTCTCGCTTGCGAGGCGAGAGCTCTAACCACTACACCTCAGGACTCCACAAAGAGCGAGAGGAATCGAGCTGCAATGCTTGAATGGAAGATGAGGCAAATCTACTTTGCTCGACTGTGGACATACTGCTCCAATTAGCAGGAGGAGGAATCAAAGGCAGGATAGACTAGATACTTGCCTCGACTCAAACCATCGGGACCTCGGAGAATTCTGCATTCCTCTATCTGCCCGAACGCTGAGAACATCACCCTGATGTCATTTTCGTTGCATTTTTTCGAGACCATCCCAATGAATAATTTTCGGTCTTCCACAGCTAGGAGAACAGGGAGGGTGAGGTGGGGGTGTGGGTGGGGAATGGGGGAACAAAATGTTATTATTGCAACAGCTTCCATGAAGATTGGGCCAAAATAATAATAATAATAATAATAATCCTTGCGTTTGATACAGCGCCTCATCAGGTCTTCGAGACGTCTCCAAGCGCTTCACAGGATAGACTGTGAAGTGAATTGACTGCGTATTTGTGTGGTCGAAACGCGGCAGCCGATTGCGCACAGCAGCGTCCCCACAAGCGGCCGTGGATTGAGTGACCAAATTATCATCTATTTTTGGAAAGATTATTACCCCCGGAAATCCAATCCGCCAATTGATTAACAATTGGGTTCCCACTTGCTGCTGGGTACACAGAGTAAGGAAACTTGCCGAAGGTTTCACCCCGCCCGGGTCCTCTCACTAGCGAGTCGAGCGCTCTAACCACGAGGCTACAGGAATAAATAAACCAGCAACCCACCCCTGCAGTTATAAGTATAATTTAAAAATAATGACACGGTCTTAATAATAATTCCTAGAACAGAGCAAGATTAAACAGAATCACTTCAGTAAATGAGCACTTAAATTCCATTGTAAACTTTACGCACAAATTTGAACATTTTGACATCAAAAAAAATTGCAATCAATTGTAATGCTTTTCTGAAAGCACGTCAAGCATAAAATAAAAGGGATGAAGCGAGACATTGTACCAGACAGCCTAACGTTCTTAATAACCCTTGCATTTGACACAGCGTCTTATCACGTCTTCGAGACGTCTCAAAGCGCTTCACAGCATGGACTGTAAAGTGAATCGACTGTACATTTTGCGGGCGAAACGCGGCAGCCAACCGCGCACGGCAGCGTCCCCCGCAAACAGTCGTGGACTGAAGTGACCAAATTAATATTACTATTTTGTTTATTTTTGGGGCGGCGGGATCGTTAACCCCGGAAAATTAGCAATTAAGAGCACTAAAGCAGACAGTTTTCTATCCGTTTCTCTCTCTCTCTCTCTCTCTCTCTCTCTCTAACGCCCTCCTATTAAGTAAGACGGCAGCTGAGACTTTGTATGAACAGCAAATTTCGTTCTGCAAAATGTAATGTGCGTCTCCTCCGACATCAGAGATGGTATAATACCAGGCTGCTCTCCCGACAAAAGGCAATTAAAAGGGATATCAAATACCCAGAGTCCAGCCAGTCCTGCCTGCATCCGTATCACAGAAGGGGTTTGACTAATTAGCGGAGGTATGTTTACAAGTGCACAGTGACATTTCACCCTCTCCACTGCGCCGGTTTGCCAAGGCTTAAACGCTCGATAAAATGTGTCAGAGCTATGTGTACATCGGGCCCTCAAGCTCGATGCAATAAAACTCAGCCTTTTTTTTAACTGTAAAATCACCCGATTTAAGAGCTTAAGGGCAGCTCCGACGTTTCGAACGACCGGGACTCAGGTCCAGAAAGTTCCGGTGTCGAACCCCATTTAATTAATAATCTGGTCGCTTAACCCAAGGCTGTTCGTGGGGCAACGCTGCTGTGCGCAATCGGCTGCCCGCATTTGGCCGACAAATTGCACGATCGATTCGCTTTACAGTCCAATCCGTGAAGCGCTTTGAGACGTCTCGAGGGCGAGATAAATTGCAAGGATTATTATTATTATTATTACCTACTAACAACTTACTGCTAGGTAAACAGAGGCTTGTAGAGCGAGGAAACTTACCGAAGATTTTGCCCTGCCCGGGAATCGAACGCGGGTCCTTTCCCCTGAGGAGTGAGCACGCTAACCCCTTCGCTACAGGGCTCCACACACGCTACAGGTTCCCGGTTGACCGCTTCCACCCCCCCCACACTTTTCAGTCTAATTGGCCGGTATGTGACTCCAGCAATCAATCGTCGCTAGTCTCTGCCTCTATAAGTGTCTGATTTAATTAAACAGTTTCCTGTTTGTTAATGCCAGCATATGGCATTTTACTAAAGGCTGCACTCATTTTCACCGGCAATTTTTTTACGACTCAATCGACAATTACAATTCCCCCCCCCCCCCCCCCCCCCCCCTCAAAATGGGATTTTTGCTACTCGCTCCGATATTTTGTCTCAGCGTTAAACGTCGGAGACATTTAAAGAGGAATTGTGTTTGGTGGGGGCGCGGGAAGAATTGTCCATGTTGGGTCTGCGAATGTGCTCACTCACAACTCAGCCTCGAAGCAACTCAGAGGTTTGGATGTGCTGCAGTGACCCAGGTTTACAGGACGCCCCCTCGACGTGAAAGGCGCTTTTTACAAACGTAATGTAGGGTTGTCTCGTTAACGGGCAGCTCGTCACTCCAGCAGCCAAGGTGCGGGTTAAAGCGTCTACAGCATTATACGCTCTGTGTAAAGCTCATTTGATATGGGGCATCATCACGTCTTCCAGACGTCTCAAAGCGCTTCCTTCACAGGATGTAGTGTAAAGTGGAGCGACTGAGTATTTTGTGGATGAAACCCGGTTGTTGGTCGATTGGGGAAACGCTTTTCCGGGGGTAATAATAATAATCCCTCCAAAAAAATACACTGGGTCACTCAATCCACGGCTGTTTGTGGGACACCGCTGCGTGCAATTGGTGGCCGGGTTTCACCAACAAAGTACGTTCACTTTGCAGTATATTGTGTGAAGCGCTTTGGAGACGTCTCGAAGATGTGATAAGGCGCTGTATCAAGTACAAGGATTATTATCGTTAGAAAGGCCAGTTGGACCTAAGGGCGTAATTGGAATGGCTTTGATCAGCTGGCTGCGTCCCACAACACAAGCCCTAGTGTACTTTCAGGAGCGGTGCGTGCGTGTGTGTGTGTGTGTGTGTGTGTGTTTGTGCGCGTCTGTGTGTGTGTTTGTGTGCGTGTAATCCAATCCCGCGATCTGCAAGCCTGCGGTAGCTCGGAAAGAGGCCGGTCACATTTCTCTTGGCTTACCATTAGATTTTTCGCTATCAGCAGGTTTCATCTGAATGGGATGATGCATCTGGAATGGAAAAGAGAAAAGTTCCTGTTACCCTCCGAAATCCCAGTGAGCCAGCGAACGGACACGTTCAGTTTACAACTGGCGTAATCCCCTTTCATTTTCCCTCTCATCACCCTCCCGCCAACACCCTCCACCCCAATCCCTGTCCTCTCTTACACGCGGGTGGGGAGGTCTGTGTGAAAAAAAAACGACTCCAGGCTTCAAAGTCGGAAGCTCTCTGGAACGCCACGACCGTCCAGCGGTCAATCGGAATATTTAAAAGGAACGTGAGGGTATTAGTGGAACGTGGGGAAAGGGATTAAAATATCTGACGTGTTTTTAAACCCGGGTGTGACAGGAAGAAAGGCTTTCCCACAAGGTGTCGGTCTGGCTCTCAGTCGGTAGCATTCTTGAAATTTTTAGTGTCCGACTTCTACTCTGGGGCCAACCCCCCCCCACCCCCACCCCACCATTAAATCCGGTCCACCCACTCCCTCCGTAACCCCGTAAATGTTACGTTACGTTACGTTTCCGGAAGGGTGACCCCCAAATATTGCTTATGGGGCCCACGGACATTTCTCAAATAGGGCACCCGGCCCTCAGCGGCCAAAAGGCCCCGAAAAGCAATCCTGTTCAGCGAGCGAGAGCAAAGGGAGCACCATTCTCGCTCAAGACTTTTCTTCCCGTTTTAGTACTTCCAGGAAAGCAGGAATGTCCTTAATACTGGCCAGATAAGGCTACGGCCGTCCATCTGCCCCAGCAATCTGACTCCGTGGGTGACTAATAGTTTCTGCTGCCTTTACAAACACTGCACGTCAAACTCGCTCGGAGAGAAAGAAATCTGGGAGAGAGAGTCTTTGATCCCTAACCTCCATAAATTCTGACTCGAAAAGCGCCCCAGTTATCAATATGTCAGCGCAAATTGCCGACAAATTGACACATGTGACAACTAAATGAAGCCAATGACAGGCAGAACTGACTACAACAGTCAAACACCCACCCACACAGGAAAGACGACTGCTGACAACAGCAGCAGCAAAATTACATTTGTGCAGCGCCTTTCACGTCGGGAGGACATCCCAAAGCGCTCACAGGACAGGCGGACTCTCTCCTGTACATGGCGACCGGTGACACAGTGTTCCAACCTCTGAACTGGTTAAACTGTCCCGTAGCGAGTGGTGGGGGTGTTATTGACTGAGTCGTCGCTGATATACAGTAGTATTTGTTTGCACAATGTGCTGGAGGCCTGGTCCTCATCAATCAACAGCGTGACTCGCTGCGTTGCAAAGAAAGCGCCATTCACCAAAGCGAGCTCAGCCTCTCCGAGCGACCTCGAGACCATGCACAGTTGATGAATCCCAGATCAAAATAAATGAGGTCACCGTTCCATTAATCCACACTCTGTGCATTTAATTACCCCCTAAAAAGTGCACAAGCTGGAGTGATTCACCCCCGTGATCCATGGCCTGACTCGGAGGCCGAGCTGCTTATTGAAGGAGCCCATCTTAATAGCTGGCCCTCCCCACTTTGCTCAGCGAGACTGCGATAAGAGCTATCTGGTTGTATAATAGTCATCGTTTTACACGCATGATACCCACACACACACACACCACACATACCCATAAGCACATATGCCCCCCCACCCCCGCCCCTGCACCCATACACCCACAGTCACACGCACGCACGCGCACACAAATACATCCGTACACACTCACAGTCACATACTTATCCGTGCAAAAGCTCATAGACCCATACTCACACATACACCCACACACACACAACCACACATGCAAAAAGACACACACACACACACACACTTGCCCACCAAAACACACACTAAAATGCACATCTCTTTCCCCTAACACACACACACACATACATACAACAGACCACACAATAGCTCTAAATGCAGTGAGTTTTCCCCCTCTCCTGATCCAAATTCCTCTTCCCTCCACAGTCTCCAACCCCCCCCCCCACTGCTCTTTGGGGCAATGCGGTTGCCACAGATTAGCTGCGTCATCCAGCCAGACGTTAAGAACAGTCACTACACTTCAAAGCAACTCGTTGGAAGATGTTCTGAGATCACTGTGCGCGCGCTCTCTTTGACACGTCGCATTCCTTTACTTATTGAACTCTTGCAGATTGTTAAAAACAGATGGGGGTTACTCGCGAGCAGAGTGCCGACAAGGGATTGCGAGCAGATGTAATGGCGTAAAGGCCTGTTGTTCTGGCGTGGGGCCAGTTTGTCACGAGCTCGTGCAGAGAGAACCCCATGTTAGCGCTGTGTCCACAGCCTTGTCACGTGATTTCAGGAACCAATCTCGCAGACAAGAGGCCACGGAATCATCATCAACAACACGGACAACGTGCGTTCACATGGCAATAATAGCGATGACAATCTCTGGATTTGTTATAACGCCTTATCAGCTGCTGGGGCGTCTCAAAGCGCTCCGCTGAATATGCTGCAAAGTACTGTGTATTTTGTGGGCGAAACTAGGCAGGAGAGGGCGACCGGCGATGGTGGAATGGAGGGCACGGGTGGGCAGGGGGTGGGGGGGGTCAGGTAGGAGGCCGGAGCCAGTCGAACGGAGGCAGCGGACAGCGAGTGTGTTGGGAGTAAGCAGGTCGGAGAAGCAGTGAGGTGCCGGGGCGGGAAGGGATTTGAAGACGAGCGAGAGAGGATTGTGCACCCGGCGAAAGCCTCTCGACACACACATACACACGCGCACAAAAAGTCACGATGGCCCATTTAATGAAACTGCCGCCCATAAAACATTTAGCAAACTCACGGAACGAGTTTCTAATGGGATCGTGCGCTGAATGGCTAATGCGAAAGGCAGAAGAATCTCATTTTCTACTTTTATTGACAGGGGAATGATTAGAAATTAGGCTCTTGGATGTACTGTCAACCCGCTCATTTATTACACCGCCGTGGAAGTATCCAATTATGAGGAGAGAACTTCTCGTTTGGAAGGAAGCCTTCGCAATTACACTATTTCTTCTTCTTCTTCTTCTTCTTCTTCCCTTTAATCCACAAGTTCTTTGTGCCACAGTTATTACTGCCGGGCCGTCCTAGCTGAACGGGCAACAGGAAAGCTTCTCAAACAGCACGAGCAATGGCAAGCTGTGCGGTTTTTGCTGGTTAGGCACCAGCAGTCCCCCACCCCCAACGCACCCGCTCTGAGCTCCCCCAACCCCAAGCCTTGGCTCTTGCCAACCTGCGCCTAACGCTTTCCGGAATTAGGTAAACAGGATGCGTTCCTCCAGGAAGAAAGAGAGAGAGAGAGAGAGAGAGAGAGAGAGAGAGAGAGAGCGCATTCCATCCCGACAATCTATCTCTGGGATTATCCATGTGTAGGTGGGATCCATGAGATTTTCAGCTTGGTTTGGAGACTCTTGAGCAACGGTGATGGGTTTCCGCACGTGTCAGACACACGACTGACCAAATCCTTTTTTTTTTAAGCTCCCGCTTAAAAGCAAATATTACGAAATAAAACGATCCATACACTTCGCACTGCGCCTTTCAACATCGGAAGGACGCCTTGCGGGATGCGCTTTAAGGTGCAGCGACGTGTGTGTTTTGTCGTCAAACGGACTAACCAGTTTGCCACGAACAGCCACTGAGTGAGCGACCAATTTTATCAGGGGGATTGTTGGCCAGGATACCGGGAGAGAAAAACTCCCTTCTCTTTCTGAATAGTGCCGCGCGATTTGTTTAACGTCCACCTGAACAGGCACGGACAGGACCTTGGTTAAACGTCTCATCCAAAGGTCAATGCAGCACTCCACCCCCCCTCTTCCCCCCCAGCACTGCACTGGAGTGTCAGCTTAGACTATATGAGTTCAACGTCCTGGCGTGGGGGGGCTTGAACCAACGGTCTTCTAACTCAAGAGGCGAGAGGACTACCGATTGAGCCAGGCTGAGACAAGGTGAGAAAGTAAATTAGAAGAAATTTGTACGTGTGTGAGTGTGTTGGGGGGTGGGAGTGGGGTGGATTGGGGGAGTAAGGGGGTCAGGAAGGGGGGGGGGGGTTGGAAGAGGCAAATTCCAACCCAAGGCCGAACTTAAGAATATTAAATTGGACTTGCGTGCTAAGACCGGGTGGAATTCGGAAGCCTCGGACTTGCTGATATAATGTTAATTTCCTTTCCCTTCTCTCCTTTCCCGAAAAAGGGAAACCATATAGTTTCCAAAGAGCTTCCTTCTTTACTGCAACTCTTCATCTGGCTCCCATTATCTTACCCCAAAGTTATGTAGCGTCCGCATCCCTCCACATCTTCTTGAATCAAACTTGTCAAGCAGAAAATATGCGTTGGCCAGCCACTGGCTCAGTGAGCGGGTTACTCAGGGAAATAGAACTGTCTTCTCCTGTTTTCCCCGCAACTGTGTTCCAAGCAATCACTTACATGGAAAGCGATCACTTCACGTCCTCCTAACTACCCCCAAGCTCGCTCGCTCGCTCGCTCGCTCGATTTCTTTCAGGTGGTTTGGCTCAAGGCTGGTCGGGTCTCTCGCAGGTCTACGCCTCGCAAGGTCGTGGGCTCAACGATAAATAAGTAAACAATGAATAATAATAATTCGGTCGCTCAATCCACGACTGTTTTGTGGGGACGCTGCTGTGCGCAATTGGCTGCTGCGTTTCGCCCACAGAATGCTCAGCCGATTCACTTTGCAGTATATCCTGCGATGCGCTTTGAGTCGTCTCGAAGACCCGATGAGGCACCATAACAAATGCATTATCATTATTATTACTATTACTATTCAAGCCTCACTGTCAGGGACTTTGAACCCACATCGTCTAGGTTGACACTTCAATGCAGGACTGGGGTGGGGGGGAGGGAGGGAGGGAGGGGCGCGCGGGTGGGAGGGGGGGGGGAGTGAGCCCTGTTTGTTCGGAGGTGCAAACCTGCTCTTTATAGCAATAGTGCGTTTGGGAGTTCGCCTCAAAACGTTCCACAGGATAATAATAATAATAATCCTTGCGTTTGATACAGCACGTTATCACGTCTTCGTGACGTCT